CCCCCTCCCGGAGGTCACCCTGGATCCGCTTGTGACTACGAAGTCATACCAGTGTCCGGATCCGAGAGCTAAAAATAAAACTCGGGTACGGGAGAGGCTAGGAATACAAAAATTCGGTGTTTTCATCTGCTGATCAAATAAAAAGATTATTGTGCCGAATTCTCAAAAATAGGTGTTGTAGATGACCGTAAAAAACTTTATTACCGATGGAGATGACGGCCTTAATTTTCTGATGCATCTATTCGCCATTCTTTATGTTGCATAATCAGGTTCGTGAAGATATTTGATATGTTATTTGTTTTTTTTTACAGGGCCAGATCCAGATGATTTGCTCGACCAGGGTTATACGGATCAAAATGGTGAATTTTATTTAAAAGGCGGCACGAAAGAGCTGACACCAATTGATCCGGTGTTTAAAGTTTATCACGACTGTGACGATGGAGTAAAGGTCTGACCAGTTAATTTAGTAATTAATAGTAGCTTGACAAAAATACTCCTCAATTATGTTCATTTGCATTCATAACGTGTTTCTCCAGTCATGCAGATGGCAACTTTTTCATTTCCTCTGACCAATGTGCGGTAGTGAGCCGTCTGGCAGCCTTTGCTTCGCTTTGTCTCTTGAAGGAATTACCAGCTTAGCGGTTCGTCGGGAGAAAACATTTATGGCAGGACAATAGCTGTTTCACAAAATTTTACTTGTGTGTGACGTGTGCCACATCTCATCCCTTCGTCTCAAAAGTTATTACTTCTTCCTCCAAAAATGATCGTAACAATTATAGTTATTGAAACTTCATAATCCAAAAACATCAAAATTGGAACTTTCTACAATTTTGGCTTTAGTAACTTCACCAAGAACCAATAAAGCACCAGAACTAGCTATCTTTGCCAGCTTCTACAAAATTTTTGTGCAGAATGCAAAGATATCAGCTTTTAATTTCCCTGAAATTTCAACCATTTTGCAGCCCGGTAAAAGAAAGGTAAAATTCAAGTTGCCGAAATCTTACATAACCAGAGGAAAAACGCCGAAAAAAGTGTTTGATATTGGGGTACTCAATTTGGAAACAATATTCAATGTAAGCTATCAAGGAAGTTTTTACATATTGTTTGCTTTTACAGAAGCATAAAAAACAGCCGGCATACTTGTTCTGACGAGTTTTCTTTTCAAAGTCAAGACACCAGATCAATTCAGTGCCAGGGAAAGAACAATCTTTTTACAACGCTCTGTTTTCTTGCCTAATAAATTAGAACTGGCGTACGCCAGAGAGTCAAAAACACCATCAGCCTGCTTTTAAGCAACCTTTGAAACGAAGGAGAGAGCGAGCCATCGACAATCTTAACAAAAATTGACTGCGAAAATTAGAAATGAGCTATATCAGTTGAGCCGCTTCGGAATGCCTCAGTTTCTCGCACGCAGGTTTCGCCTATATGCAAATTGCAAAAATTGTCCAACGCACGGGCTGCCCGTGCGAAGATGCGTTTTTTGCAGAGTTCCCCGCAATTTTAGTCACTATCGGAATCAGTTTTTTCGGCAAATGCTTCAAGCTAAACTAATTAAGATTGGTTGCCAGAATTGGTAGGAAACACCCCCTTAAAATTTCAGCTTTCTAGCTTTCCTGGCTCCTGAGTTAGCAATTTACTGGAAAAAACTTTCACGGGCCCGCACGCGGGTACGACGTATGCCCTATGTCTGGATTTGAGCTTATTAAGACTTACTTGGGCGGGGAACATTCCCTTAAAGTTTCAGCCTTCTAGCTTCTTAGATCCCCAATATTTGCGTGGGAAAATTTTGGAGGGCCCATACGCGGGTACCACGCTTACCCGGGGGCTGGATTTTAGCTCATTAGCACCTGCTTGGACGGGGAACATTCCCCTAAAATTTTCAGCTTTCTAGCACCTCAGAACTCCGAGTTATGAACTTGCGCGGGAAAAATTTTGGAGGGGGGCGTACGCGGGTACCACGCTTACCCGGGGGCTGGATTTGAGCCCACTAATAGCCGCTTGGGCGGGGACATTGTCGCAAGTTTCAGCCCTCTAGCTTCTCAGATCCCCGAGTTATGAACTTACCCGAAAAAAATTTTGGCGGGCTCTCCTAAATTTCAGCCTTCTAGCTTCTCAGATCCCCGAGTTATGAACTTACCCGAAAAAAATTTTGGCGTTTCAGCCTTCTAGCTTCTCAGATCCTCGAGTTATGAGCTGACCCCGAAAAAACTTTGGGGGGTCCGTACGCGGGTACTACGCGGGTTTTGGCGCCCATTTTAGGGATTGGGGACCCGCTTGGGCGAGGAACATTACCCCAAGATTTCAGCCTTCTAGCTTCTCAGATCCTCGAGTTATGAGCTGACCCCAAAAAAACTTTGGGGGGCCCGTACGCGGTTACCACGTGGGGTATGGCGCGAATTTTCGGGATTGGGGCCCGTACGTACATGTAGATTAAGTCCCCAAAATTTCAGCCCCGTAGCTTTTGTAGG